GCACCTTCCAACATTACTAGTGGAATGTTAAGTACAGCCACTGTCAGAATGAGTACTCAGGCATCTCAGAAAGTTTAATCAGGCATATTTCTAATGGATATATTCTCAGAAAGGTTAATATTATGCAGATACATGCATACCCATACTCGGAGCAGCCCAGTTTATAACAGCTAAGCCCCGGAATCAGCTTACATATCCGTCACTGGAGGCACAGGAAGAGAACGTTGTTGATAGGCTCAGCGCGATGTGCATTCTTGTAAACCCAACACTCTGCGAGGCAGATTCTGCAGGACGCAAGTTGAAACTCAGACAGAGCAACTTAATCATCAATGAGAATCTCTCAAAGTAAGAAAAAGACTAGAGGTTTTGTGCTAATACCTGTGTTTAATTCCCAGCACCGAAAAGAAAAAGGAAATGTGCTATATAATCAGTCAAAAAGATGAGTAATATCAGGTCATTTGCCACAAGAAATAAGCGGGGCTTCAATGCATAATGTTCAGTGAAATAGCTCAGGCATAAAATAGGAAATGTCACGTGGTTTCTCTTGTATGAGAAACGAAAGAATATAAATTAAGCATTAAAATAAAGGAGAGGTGACAGAAAGAGGAAAAGTTGACTTTTTGGAGATGGGAAAGATGGTGAGAGTAAGGAGTCATGGCAGACAAGGTATCAAAAACGATCCGTGTGTGACACACATTACGTAAGCTAAATATTCTGTATTGCAAAGTACACCAACTTAAAAGCTCCCAAATGAATAGCACCGTCTTAGGAATGGCTGTTCTGAATATACCTGCTAAGGCATTCAGTTAATGCATTGCCAAAAATTCTTAGCAGGCATCAAAACAGAACTTATTCCGGTAAATCAGTAATACAGAGACCCACTTCATCGTGACTTTTTTCTTTACAGAAATAAAGAGGTAATGAAATGCTATCAATGTAAAGCTTAGAATCAGCAGGAAGAAATATTCCTTCGGACTCCAGATGCTAATGTGGCTGTGAAACAAGCTGGTTCAACACCAGCTGAAAGCCTTGCTTGTAGGAAGGCTCTGACTGGGCCTCTGTCACTGACTGTACCTATCTTTGCTCACACTGCACTGAAGCCATATAAACACTTGGGATCTGAAGAGAAGGTATATGAATGTAATCAACATACGAAAAACTCCAGGGATTTCCAGTCCCTTCAGACCCACGCAAGGTCAAAGGACAGAGAGAAACCCTGTGAATGTGATCAGTGTGGGAAATCCTGCTCTGACCTTAGTGAAAGAACTCAAGTTAGAGAGAAGGGTTTTGTACGTAAGAAAAATTTGAAAGCCTCCAGCACACACAATGATGTTCAGATCCATGAAAGAAATCACAGTGGGGGGAACCCCTGTGTGTGTAAGCAATGTGGGAAAGCTTTCAGCAGAAAGAGTTATTGTCAAATACATGAAAGACATCACACTGGGGAGAAACCCTATGTATGTAAGCAATGTGGGAAAGCTTTTAGCATACGTAGTTCTTGTCAAAGCCATGAAAGTATTCACACTGGGGAGAAACCTCATGTCTGTAAGCACTGCGGGAAAGCTTTCAGCATGCACGATCAATGTAAAATACATGAAAGGACACACTGGGGGAGAAACCCTATATATGTAAGCAGTGTGGGAAAGCTTTCAGAATATATGGCGCTTGTCAAATCCGTGAAAGTCTTCACATTGGGGAGAAACCCTATGCATGCAAGGAATGTGGGAAAGCTTTCAGCACATGTGGTGCTTGTCAAAAACATGAAAGAATTCACACTGGGGATAATTCCTATGTATGTAGGCAGTGTGGGAAATGTTTGAGCAGGCACAATGAATGTAAAATACATGAAAAGAGCTCACACTGGGGAGAAACCCTATGTATGTAAGTAATATGGGAAAGCTTTCAGCACACACAGTGCTTGTCAAAGCCATGAAGGACTTCACACTGGAGAGAAGCCCTGTGTATGTAAGCAATGTGGGAAAGCCTTCAGCAGATGCAGTGAATGTAAAATACACGAAAAGGCTCACGCTGGGTATTAATCCTGTGTATGTAAGCAATGTGTAAAAACAGATGATTGTCAAGTATATGAAACCTATGTACATAATGTGGGAAAGATGTCATACAAATAATTAAATATATGAAGTCTCACTGGGGAGAAACCTTATGTATGTAAGTCTATTTTGAAAATCTTGTGAAAATGTGCCGTGTAATGGAGACCTATAGAAATAACACATTGTTTGATATCAATTTCTTCACACATTATCCAGAAAATATAAATCCCAGGTGGAGATGTCCAAATTCACATGCATTGTATGGTTTTGGTAAATCATACATAGATTAGATACATATCTAGATTATGTATCTATAAGGCTTAATGTAAAAAATATTAATGTAATTTTATATTGTGTCTTTGTGCTTGATCTATAGTGTCTTAGACATGGTAAATTGAAATATACTTTTTACTTTCAAGAATGGACCTAGGGTGGGTGATGTGCAGGTCACTCACTGTGGTGGCCAGGCCTAAGTGGTCTTGTCCTGGACTTGGTGTCTCCCAAGTGCCTGACGGCCGAGCCCAGGGACACCTCCCTGTCATCTCGGGACCCGAGGTCTCTGGGACTGGTGAGACCTGCCCTGTGCTGCCTGTGAGCCGGTGGTTCTGAAGCACCCGGACTTAGTCATCCACCCTCTCCCTTGTTCCCAACTGCTTTCCCTGCTCGGGGTCCTGAGGCTGTGGCCTCGAGGCCTGGGAAAGCAGCACAGCACGTTCGCTGCTGACTGTCTCCAGCCAAGTGACTGTTAGGCAGCCACGGTGAGACTGTGGTGCCCCCTGACTCCAGGGTTCCGAGTTCTGTTTGGACCTGTCGCCAAGGAAGTGAGGTCACGTGCTGGGGTCCGTGAGCTGAGCCTCCCCTGACTTGTTGGTCTGTTTTTGCTTTTGCATAAAAATGTACCGTTTCATTTCACGTATATATCCTTAGAGAAGTATTTTATAGCCACGGAACTTTGTTTAAATTAATTGTATTGGTACATTTTAGATGCACACAGTGACCACATTCACGGTTGGGCCTCTGTATGTGTCCATGATGAATCTTGATTCCTTTTTCCCCAAACCCCTCTTCCTTCATCCCTCCCTCATTTACAAAAGCCTTGTTTCCACTTTCCCTTCCTTTTTATTTGACCCTTTCTCCCGTTCCCCTCCCTCCGCCCTTGTTCCCCTTCCCATCTGCACATTCTCTTCCTCTTTCCCAGTATCTACTGCACACTTTTTGGACTTTATCCTCTTGGTTTCTCACAGCAGATAGACGATGCAGTATTTTCTGGGTTTTCGTGGGTTTTTTGGTACCGGGGGTAGAATCAGATCCTTGCGCTTGCAAGGCAGGCGGTGGAACCACTGAGCTAAATCCCCGGCCTGACTGCAGTGTTTAACACAGGTGCCTGATTTATTTCACTTACGACTGTGGGTCTCAAGGTGTATCCATTTACCTACGACGGTCTCGAGTTTATCCTCCCCCCAGCCCAGGTAGTGGTGGGATATTCAGTGGTGTGTGTTCGGCAATCGTGTGCCTCTCCTTGGCATGTATTTCCTCGGCTTAGAATGAGTGAATCAGGAGATACAGCATGCGAAAGCCTTGTCCATGAAGCCAATGACCTTATTCCCAACTTCTCACTTCTCACAGCACCAAGGCCTCCCTGTCTTCCGTCGTGTCCTGGCTGTGCCTGGAACAGTGATGCTCTCCCAGCGATCTCGCCATGGTGAGTTACTCTGGAACTGGATTAGCAGACTGGTGACCCCATGTGGAAGAGCGACGCACAGGAAGACCCCACGGAGTCCAGTAAGAAGACTGGAATGACCAGGCATAGTGGTGCATTCCTCGAAATCCTGCACTGGAGAGGCTGATGCAGGAGGGTCTCAGCGAGCTCACGATCAGCTTGAGCTGCATAGTTGAAGAACACACTAAATTACACGGCAACACGCTGTTTTAAAAGTGAAAGAGACGCATTCCACTCTGCAAAGCCAGGATTAAACTCTTCTTAAATGCAGGCAAGGACAGGTCATCATCCTGGGAGACAAACTGGTCGAGAAGTCCCTGGGTTATGATCTCCTTTTGGAGCTGCACGCAAACTGGAAAGGATTCGCTTCTGTTGTCACTCTCGCGGCAGCGGGCGGAGAGTGGGGTGGGAGCCAATCAGCGCTGAGGGGCGGGCTGTGTGGGCTGCCCAATTAGGTGGCCCTGTGGCGGGCCCAGTTTCCCGGCTCGGAACTCTGCTGAGAGCCGCGGCGCTTAGTACACCGCCTTCTGCTGTCACTCTTGGCACAGAGGGCGGGCAGTGGAGCGGGAGCCAATCAGCGCCGAGGGGC